TGACATTAAAATCAAATTCCTCATGTCAAAAAACGCCTAGACACCAATTTTCATCCAAATATCGACATTAGTTCAGAAATTATTTGGAAAAATTGAATTAAAAATGTACAAAACACCCTGTATCTCCGAAACGAAGCATTTTAATACATACAATTTGAACTTTTTTGCTTATTTTTACCTACAGAATATGCTGCTGAAGTTTCCGGAATACAGTTCGGACCACCCTGTATATTAGATTGACTGATTGAATGCAAACTTCTGGAATTTTACAAAAAAAATGCATGATTAAAATATCTGTATTTTTGTAATCACTAGACTGATAACCCACGGAGATAAATACTTTAACAATTTTTTAAACATAGTTTGAACACAATTTGTCTAACAAAAATATTTTAAAAGTAAAAAATCGAGCAAAAAGAAATATGAATTAAATAAAACTATAATATAATTAACTAGCATCGCTACTATCGCAGTATTTTCCGCCTGTCGACAAAATTCGGCAGATTATTGCCAGCATGCATTGCGCTTCAGCTGAGATTAGTCATTCGGATTGCAAAGCAAGAGGGACTCGAGTGTTGCGTCCCAGAATAGAATTGGATTGGCCAAAAAAAGTGTGTTACTTTATGCCCCTATTGGTTGTTTTATAAGACGATCCAAATGTCATAAAATATTATTTTTAAAATTTTTAGTTACATTTTATTAACATAACATCACGGTAGTCAGGCTAGGCAAGGTAGGCGGCGCCTACCCTAAGATTTTCGTAGAATTTAAGCGATTCATTACATTACATTATTTACTCTATTAATGTTGCCAATACATAAAAATACTGTTAATACACGGAAGTGTGTTTTAATAAAATCAATATTATTTTAATATTTGTGGTCTTGTATATTAACGATATTAACATATTCACTACCGCTGGCGTACGCTGACCGCTACTGTGCCGCTGCGTTAGAAAACAAAATAATTTTGACCGTTGGAGCAGTGTTCCCAACTCTCAAAAATTTATCTCCCTAAAAATCTAAAACGTTCGCATAAAAAACCCCAAAATATCCCTAAAACCTAAAAAAATATCCCGAACAAAACCCTAAAAATATAAATAGTAATAAATAAACAAAATAAATAAACAATTTGTTGTATTTTAAGTGGTTGACCTTGAAACGTCTGATCACAGCAGTGTAGCCAACTGTTCGAAACTTTTCCTTAAAGCCAAATCGTATTTGCTTAAAGCTATCAAACCTTCTTAAATCCAAACAACTAAAATCCTCACAACTGTTATCCAAGATTCGGTGATTAAAATAAATAAATTATTTTGTTTTATTTATACTTTCCTATTAATTTTGAAAAACAGCAGTAGCGGTCTTATCTCCTCTTTGGTAGCGGTAAAATTCCAATGAAATTATATCCCTAAAAATATCCCCAAAAAATTTTACTCCTAAAAAAATCCCCATATAGATTTTTTCTCCCCAAATTTAGGGATTAAATCCCGGAGTTGCTAACACTGCGTTGGAGTGCCTTTGTTCGGCGATTTCTACATCGCCTACTATCAGAGTCGATGCACGACGTACGGCAGTCTTCTATTTCTGTCTAACTCATCGTACGGTAGCGATGCGACGTAAGTCGGATTTGCATCATATTAAGGCCGGGCTTAGGCGAAATCTCCGGTCGCCTTCGCATGAAGTCGTGGAGGCTCGGTAGGCTTAGATGTTAAGGGGATATTCCGGATTTTCATAAGGAGATATATCACATTTCGTTAAGAGGATATTTCATATGATTCATTATACGTAGCATTTAAAACTTTTATATGAAAATTAAAAAAAAACGTTTAAAGCAAATTGGAAACATTTTTTCGGGCTTGTCCGAGATTATTAAAAATTATATAACCGGTTGTATTTCAGGACACGCCACAGAAATAAAAGAATCCGAAATAAAAAAGCGCGTTATTTTATTCGGTGCAAGAAGACGATACAACAGATATTACAGAAAAGTCTCTGTGCTATTTCAATTCGATATGTTAATAAAAGCGGCAAAGTCAAATATCTTTGAGAATTTTATTTTATGAAATATTAGATAACATTGTTATACATTTAGAAATAAGGTTTGCAGATAGGTACTCGTATGTCTCAATTATTTTTATTTATCTCTTGCGGATCCGAAATTTAAAGAATCCTATAAAAAATTCCAACGCATTTATCATCTGATTTAACAAACTTGTTATATTGATACATTTCCAACGCATTTAATAGTGATTTAACAAACAAAAAATGTTATTGACCAACATAAATTAATGAATAAATTGCAGGTATTAATAATAGATATGATAATTTCGAGCATAAAATAATTTAAGGAGAATAATCCTGGAAATATATTTCCAGAGGCTTTCAAATTGTTTGTTTTGTTTGTTACTACACCATTTACAAGTACTTAGGTTAAGAGACATTTTTCATGTTTGAAATGCATTAAAATTTATAGTTGAGATTTCATGAAAAATAAACGTTTATCGCCACTTGCCTTACTTTCAATCTAAAAAGATCTTTTCACAGCTCTTCAACAATCTGATGATTTTACTGATATAATAATAAATAACTTTTCTTTATTAAGAGACCGACTCATCAATTAAATATATAAAACATAATTATTCTTTCTCTCAATACTACCAATTTTTAAGTTTGCGTAAAGAAATATAATAATAATAGCTCCCGTATATAGCGTTTGACGCCTTGGGACTAGCAAGGTACAGCTTGCCATGCTAGAGTCGTTCGGTATACAAGGAAGGTTGTGGTTGTGGCTAGCACTCTACGCTTCAACCGCCTATTATTACCTCAGGATTGTGAATCCCAAGTACTCATTTAAGGCTGAGTCGCCCTAGGTACCCAAACTATTTTTATTTTAATAAAAATAGTCGGCTGATGGAATGCCGGGTGTAGGATTCGAACCCACTACCTTGAGATTGGTAGACGAGAGCCTGTACCTCTACGCCACCGGGCACCTTGTAAATAAATAAAGATAAAATAAAAATCTATGATGTACTCCATAGTGACTCCATAGTAATAGATAAAGAAAATAATAGATAAAATAGATTAATAAAAACTATACTTGTACATTATGTCATTAGGTTGAATGCTGTTATTTTTGCTTTAGTTTTGTCCTAAATATTTTTGAGCTATATTTTTAACCCAGAGATAACATATATTTTCAACTGAGCTAGAGTATAATGTAAATTAGGGGGGGAGGGCAAATAGACGCAACTAAAATGTCGCCTACCCAGTCACACGGGTCACGAGCCGCCACTGCATAACATGCGTATGTTACGTTAATAAAATTAGGGGAACTAGGGGTAAGACGGGATCTTGTGTTTTATTTTATATTATGTATTAATATGTGTTTATAGGCATATTAAATACAGAAATTTAGATGGACTGAAAACGACACCTCTGTGGAATGCTAAAAATTCTGCCCTTAAGTTCTGTATTGTGAGGTGTGAATTTCACTATCATTTGGAGTATTGTGTGGCTGTGAATGGGGAATTATGTAAACATTTTATTAATTAGTATAGTTTAATAAAGTTCCTTGTGTTACAAATCTTTCAATTATCCCTTGAATTATTGTGGATGTCTGTGGTATGAGCGAAGCCTTCAAGTGATCGAGTAATGAACAGCAAACAAGTCATACGCCGCGAATACTATTCTCAGTTCAACTAGTTATTTTGTAGATGATTATTCCAATTGAGAAAAAAAATTACCCACCTTTTTCAAAGCACAGAAATTCTTGTAAACAAAAAGAAATATGACATCGAATTTGACAATGACAAAATCATATTTTGGCTCGTATTTTAATTGTAGCTTTCTCTGGACTGTATTATAATTTTTTAGTAATATGAAGGCAGATTTTTGCAAATAACTTTTAGATGCCTATTCCAAATAAAACGAAATTCTAGACGAGAATACAACTTTAACGCCTCCTCAAACAAGTCTAATACAATTTTTGCATAAAATCATCTGGAGAGATACCTAAAACCTAACTCAGCAAGCGCAGAAAACTTCCTACAACCCAAGGATACTAACGAAAAATATTTTTCTAAAAAAACATGTGCGCCACTGACATTTTTCCCTCTTGTTTGCAAAATTGTGTAGGCCATTTAATGCAGATTAAAAGTTGTATCTTGATGTTTTGTCCGATCCGATCTCCTCTATGAGATAAGCAATTTTATTAATTATAATAAAAAATTAATAAACTATTTATTTAATGTAATTTATTACTAAATTTTATTAAAATGTATAACACTGATGTACAGTTCTATCTACAACAAATTGCCCAAAAAACTAATGGTAATGGTATTTAAGATAATAACAAAAGGGCTATTTTTTTAAGTTTTAGCATCCTACACAAACTATGCATTTCCACATCCATGTTTATAGGAACTTTTTTTCATATTTTTTGATTAGGAATAAGTGAGTGTTTTTTAACATTTTAGCAAGTTAATGACTTTTTTAAAGGTTGCTATTAGGATTGGATAAAGGCAAATTAATTAAACTGCTTTTACATCATCAAGGAGGCCGAAATTGACAAAATCCAGAGACAACTTTTAATCATCATTTAACGATCTACACAATTTTGGTAACAAGAAAAAGGTCAGTAGCGGACATATTTTTATTCAGAAAAATATTCCAGTGGTAACCCATATATGCACTGGTACTGGTGAATATGTTAACACTTTTTTAGCATTAAAATATGTTGCACTTTAACCAATTACCATCAAAATTTCATGCAAACCGCTAAAAGCACTTGGAAGAAAATTATAATAATTATTATTTGTACGAGATGTTGTGACATCTCGTACATCTTTACAAGTCCATCATGAGATATTTTATTTTGCCCAAGGAAAAAAGATATCAAAATTAATAAAATCCATTTAGTTAAAACAATAACGAATATACTCTTATCTTATCTTGATATAATTAAAAATAGATTTTAAATTATATTAAATTGAAAAAAAATACCTGTTAAACAAATTTGATGGAAACCAGATCCACCTGCCACTTCGGTTGACGATTGATCCATTTTACGCAACTCTAATATTATGATTATGCTTCATCAACAACAAGATTCAATTTAAACTAAAAAATAAAAGACAATTAGCAAAAAAATAACTGCAAGTCTATTTTTAAATTCATAGAATTGATAACTTTACCTGCATACAAAATGACGTCTCTCTTTAAAATCCATAAACTTTGGAATCAAGCTTTAGTAAGAAGCTCTAAGCTTTTAAGGCGCTCCACATATTATTACATAAAAAAAACATCTTTTTGCAAACAATTAGTTTCGATTATGGGAATGGGAAACGATCCCTTTTCTACAACTATTTATTTTATTTGTAGCTATCAAAAATTTCTAAAAAATCATGTGTCAAATGTCAAACACTGGCCATAGATTATAGATATGATATATATGTCAATACAAGTGTCAAAAGCAAAATTAACCTGTCAAGATACTGTCAAGTACAATGGTCAAGTAGAATTGGACAAGAGGAGGATGTACTTATTTGATGTACTTAGTAGGATAAGTAGGTGTACCTCTACCTCTACACTCCATAAGCAGGTAGTAGGTCGCTAAGGCGGATTCTATTTTATATTTCACCCAGGCAGGGATTAACTCTCAACTTTTCACTCAACCAAAACTCAAGACTGAGGGTGGTATCTTAGTAACAGGCCGGATAGTCTTAGTAGTTTAAACCTTTCAATTAATTATAAAAAAAAAGAAGAAGATTAATACGTAACCCTTTTTTTGTAGACCGTTGACGTGCCGTTGACCGTTTGACGGTTGTGTATGTTTACATCACATTACTCATTTACAATTTACATCTTTTATTTTATGGATCCAGGGGCTTCCGGGGGTTAAAATAATATTCTTGATAGTGATAACAAGGTGATAACTGTATTGCAATTTTGCCATCATTGTATGCTATTTTAAGGATGTCTCTATGCAGCGTTGTTAAATGTGGAAGACAAGTTTTCTTTAGGACATTTGGTACAACGAATTCAAATTAACAGGTTTATGTTACAACTAATTAGTTACTTCTAGCAACTCGAAGCCGGTTCTATAAAAGTACGGGTATATTAAAAAGTGATGGAAAGTATGAGATAATCTTAGATCAACGGAAATTAAAGACACCAAATGGTAAATTATTTACAGTGGACAGTGAGCCTTTGGCTTTAGCAGTTGCGACTGAATGGAATGCTCAGAAAAACAAAATAGTACAAAGCAATATGCATATTGTGTGAGTTGCAAAATAGCTCTTAATTCTTATTTAAAACGATTATTTTAGACAACATTATGTAACACCATAATTGATAACCCTAATAATTTTGGAAAGTTGGATATAGTTAATTATATTGTAAATTATCTAGATACCGATACTGTTTTATTTCAAGCAAATGTAAGTAAGTGAAGGTTTCTATGCATCTGACTTGTGTTGTGTCACTTCCTGACTATGGAATTTTATTGGTTTATTTGATAAATGACAGCTTACACTTAACTATGATTGGAATGATGGAACGACAGACAATGCAAGACGGATGCATGTAATCTCACCTTAAAGCTAAATTCAGAGTTTTACAGCGTTTTAATGTATGCAGTACCTATAAACAATTAATAGCTTTGTTCATAGATATAGTCTGTCCAACGAGAGGATATACATATAACAGTGACAGTTGTGTCTGGCATTTTAATGCAGACGTAAACTGTATTTTCTGTCATATTTTGGATGCTATCTGTCAAAATCTTCCATGACATTTTGACAGACTTTCCCTGATTTCAATTATTCTTTGAATAAGAAGACTAAGGAAGGAGCATAATGCTATCCATGTATTCATGCATGGTGGGCGGAAAAAGCACCATAAAAGCACTCTAGGGTGGGGATCCTTGACAGTTCTGTTTGACGATTCATTTGACACATTTGAATTTGATTTGAAATTTTGTGGATTTGTCAGTCTTTACGGAGCTTATTTTATGTTATTTATTATTTATTCTACTACTGATAGTTGTATAAAGGTAGTAAATCTAGATGGAAATTGTGGCAGAACTTAAATTAACAGTGACACTATCGCGATTTATCGAAAAAGACTCTAAAATAGTTGGTTGTGTAGCGTGCGGTAGATCTCGGCAAAAATTGAGTGAAATAATGGAACAACTTTTCGCTCTAGTAAGTGACTATATAATATACATACGTGTAGTAAACCGATCATTTATGAAATTTACTTAAATTAACTAAATTATATATTTTTCTTGCATTTTAGCTTTTATTTATTACTTGTCAAAGATTAGATGACAAAGAATTTAGATACGTTAATTTGACTTACCTGCTTCAGTAGCGTATAGGATGTTTGTGTTAATAAATACTTATTATAACTTATCTATTTTTATTAGAATTATATATTTTTATAACAATTTTAATAACTACCAACATTTATTCACAACGTAAAATAAAACAACAAATTATTGAGTCATCATCATATTGAGCCTACATCATAGTTTTACATTTTTTAAATAAAATTAGAAGGACACTGATAAACCGGAATTTAAGTCGGCCATATTTGAGGCCCATCGCGGTGTACCTAAGATTTTTGATATGCTCCTTCCTTAGTCTTCTTATTCAAAGCAATTATTACATTATCTTTCTGCTTTAATAATTATACAGGGTCCGGCAATAGTGCGTCGGGCATCTGTAGCTACTAGAATAAAAAATTTAAGAATTTTTATTAAGTAGAAATCTAAAGTATGTTCTAGGATGTATTCCAGGAAATTATTTTAACTTCTATAGGGTGGCTCAAAAAAGTGTGAGTGGATCGGGATGATTTTTTTTAAACGGAACGCCCTGTATATTATTACATTTTTGGCTTCTTTTTAGATCACTTTACATAATCCTAAGATATGAGTAAATATATTTCGATAGTTTCAGAGATATTAATAAATAAATAAAAAATGTATTTTTCAGCCTTTCTTAAAACAATTATATTAAAAATACAAATACTGTCCTGAAATTAAAACTATGTTACGTCTTTACTTTAGATGGTCTGTACTTATCTTGCTATAGATATGGTAATCGTAAATCATACAGGGTGTTCCAAACTCTACGCCAAACTTTCTAAAATATAAAATCACTTTTCTTCGTTTTTTTAAATGGAACACAATGTATATTATTTTTTCACTAGATGGAGAATTAAAAAATGAACAATTTTTGTATTTAGAGTATTCTAAAATTGTTAACGGTTTCGCAGATATTCGCGGTTTTATATTGCATATGGCATTTCCTATAGTAAATTTTTATCATATCCACCCAATGATTTTTCTCTCGATTTTATCGTTGATAGAGCCATATGAAACAATACTGCGTATATCTGCGAAACCCTTACAAATTTTGAAATACTATAAATACAAAAATGTTTATTTTTTAATTATCCATCTATTAAAAAATTAATATATAATGTGTTCCATTTAAAAAAAACAAAGAAAAATTATTTTATATTTTAGAAAGTTTGGTTTGATTTGGAATGAATTTTGAACATCCAGTATGATTTAAGATTACGATATTTATAGTAAAATTAAGTATAGACCATCTAAAGTAAATACCTAATATAGTTTTGATTTCTGGACAGTTCTTGTATTTGTAATAATTTTTTTTAATGAAGGTTGAAAAATATATGGATTATGTAAAGTGATGTGAGAGGAAGCCAAAAATGCAATAATATACAGTAGGGCTGCACCGAGTACCGAGTAGTTCGGTGCTCGGCCAGAATTTTAACCGAGTAGTATGTACTCGGTGCTCGGCCGAGTAGGCCGAGTAAAGTATAGTAATAGAAACAATCCATTTATGCATGTCCAAAACAGATAGAAATGAGACTCACCGTGGCAAATAATAAAATAAACAAAAAGTTATTCATAACTTTAATTAATGTATTTTAGCAAAGTAACAATAATAAGTATAAGCCTTGATTATGTATAAATAGATATACAATGAGGGCTTAGTAAAATCCTGTCCTGTAGATGGCGCCTTGCCCGCTCTGCATTTTTGTATTCCCCTACGATTTTCTTTGAGGGGAATCCGTTAAACCCGCCCATCGTTCAAAAATGGAAGGGCGCGAGGTCACATCTATTGGGCTACTTATTAGCACGTTTCACGCATGTTTTACGAAAATAGCTTTATCCTTGTTTGTTTCAACTGTGACAAGAAAAAAGGAAAAAAAGTCACATTCGTTTCTAAATTCGGCAGTTTTCTTTATCTTTCTCGACTTCTGATTTCGTTTCGTTTAGGTTATGTCTTAAAAAATAATTATTTATAAGCTTTTGAGTTGAAATATACCTTAATGCATATCTAAATAATTAAAAAAATAAATTTTTTCGTCCCTCACGAAGAAACGAAACAGTATTTTTGAATATTTGGATTACAAACTATTATTTTATGAGTTTTATGTGTTGTGTTTACGTGATGTGTAATGTGTATTTTGTACCTGCTGGATAATATTTTGAAACATATTTAGACATTATTATTATAACAAAAAGGATCTGTATTACAGGTGAGTAAATACTGTTCATATTTATTTCTAAATTTATATAAATTTGTTTTAAATCACTCTTGGTTTTTAGAGTTTTTATCTTAGAGTTTTACCTCATAGAGAGTCTGAGATAAGTTTAATAATAAACATTAAATTTGATAGATTGATAGATAGATTAAACGATAATGGCCAGTTGACTTAAAAATTTAAAAAATACTGATTTTATGCTATAAATTATGTTTCATTTCTTACTTTGCTTTTTTGGAACTGTCAGATATATTGTGTATTTTATAATTTTTCTTAATTAATAACGTAAAATATTGTTTATCTACACTCAACCCTGTGTTTAGATAAAGCTTCATATCAGATTTCCTATTTTATATTTTCACTCAAATCATATTTTTGTAAAATAGGTATGCTTGCATGCAAAAGTAGCGTAAATTTGACAGGGAGGTATTTTTATAGATATACAGGATGATTCGTAGATTTAAATACATATTTACTTTAGAGTTGTATAGTTTGTCAAAAGAAAAGCTATATTTTTTATTTTTTCTTGGTGAATTTGTCAAAAAATTGTCATTCCAGAAAATACTATAATGTCGTAATCGTATAGAGTTCATTTTGACCATTTTTGGATTAAATTTTTTTGTTTATATAATAAAATATATATTTAAAGCCCTTTCTAAGTTAAAAATAAGTAATATGGAAGTTTTTTACTGGAACTAATTTAAGGTAATGTTCTCTTCATATAATTATATAAAAATATGCTAAATTCCTAAATTATTTATATGATTAAATTTTCTTTATATTATTTTTTTTGTATTATATACAGGATGAGTCAAAACTATATATTATATTTTTCTTTGCTATTTCAAATGGAACACTGTATTTTATATCATAAATCAACAAATCTTTTATCCAACTTTTGTTTTGTTAAGATCTATATCCCAGATTAATAGTTATTGGATTGTTCTCAATAATTGTCTCTTTGAGAATAAACATGATTTGTTTTTCGCAATTTTTATTAGTAGGTTTGTCGTTAAAAGTGATGTATCTACATATTTATCAGCGACAAAAATTAAGAATTAGATGCCTAAAATAATTTCCTAATTATTTTTTTACTTGGCGTATCAGTAAATATTATTTATTTTATCGCTGCAGCAAATAATAATTATGTATTCCAAAAGAGGACATTACTGTATAAATATCGATTATTTGGATTTAAAAATTATTTTTCAAAACAAAGTTGGAAAAAACTACGTTTATGTCATAAAATGTGGAGTTCTCTTTGAAATAATCGAGAAAAACCCAACATCTAGTTTTGACGCCACCAGTATATATCATGCATTATAGTTGATTATACTGCAATTTATTATACATAAGTACGTAGTTTTGTTTGGTGAAAATGAAACTTTCTAAAAGTATTCCCAATTAAAACATATTAAGAATTTCCCACATTATAATTTTGAAAGACGTTTGAGTGGGCAGACAATTTGGTCTAAAATAATCATATGTCTAAAAAAATTAGTCTAAAATAATCAAAAACCACTTAACACATATAACTCGCTTTTAAAAAATCTACAAGAAATAAGTTTGTTTATTATATTCATATTTTATTAAATTATTATAGGTGTGACTGCGAAGTGGTCGTACTCGCCACTTTAACCAACCATTGGTGGGACCATGGTAGGACCTTCAGAGATTATAATGCGAATTTTTCATACCATGTAAATCTATATACATATATTAATAAATGCGGTTGTTTTATTAAATTTGTTTTCTTATACGGTATGAGCGAAAAAAAACGGCGTCTATTTGTTTACGTACAAATATATGACATCGATATTAATTTCCAAGCCACCTCTGATGCCGTTTTTTTTATCGTATGGTATACACTTACATATCCCTTATCCTTTAAATCCGATTTATTTCTAATAATTATAAAAATAAGATACCTGATTGATTCTGCCGAAATATTATAAAATGAGATATCAGGAAATAAATAAAGTTACTTATCTCGTTTGTTTTGGGAATTCAAAAAAAGGGTATAGAGAATCTTAAGAGACACAGTTCAAATATTATTTTTGAGTATAATGGGTGCTTCAAAAAATGTGGTGGATATAATGTAACATGTTTTTTAATGCAAAACTCTTATTTATAACTTTTATTTTATTTTCGATTCTGCCTAAAATTCTATAACTTTTTTTTATAAATAACGTTAGTATTTGCAAAAAAATTATTCCTATGTTACATAATTGTCAGTTGTTTCCGAAGTTGGGCTACCCAAATTTGGTAGGAGTGTTTTACAGAGGTGAAGAAAAAGATATATGTAAAAATACTTGGAGTTAGATGCTACACTGTGTTCAAACAGATTTTTTTGGCTGATCCTATATATTATTATTTTTTCTAGTGCTTTTACAAAACCTTTCAACATTTGTTAAGAAAGTATATTAAGTACATCTATACTCTATACAGCTTGCAATCTGTTCTGAATTTTTCAACTTTTATCCTTCTTTTACTTCATTTACACTATAACAAGTTTTGCCATGACAAAACAAAAATTATTTATTATTAAGCATTAAAGTAATTTATATAGTTATATGACATTATTAATAGAAATTGAAGAATTTTGTAAAATCTATCAGAAGAAATTATAATATACCGGGTGTTTTTCAAACGTGGCTTGATTGACGTATTCAATTAGTTTCGGTTATTTCTTGTTTCACCTGAAATGACTACAACTTGGTTTTTAAATGGTACCGTCGGTATTTTTTTACTTTATTTGACAGAATATGGCATTGTGAATAGAATGATTTAATGTCAACTTTTGACATATTTACTCAAAAAAATTGTATTTTAAATTACAATCTAGAGTGCCATGATAAAAAACAACATGTAACCGGTTGTAAAGGTAACGACAGTTTGACTCGATATACGAAGTGTGTGGTACCAAATTACCTATTTACCAGGTACCAAAAAGGAAAAGACAAAAAATATTAGACGATCAAATCAATTTTTCCGAAGCTCCTTGATTAAAAATTAATGGTTTTAACACAGCCATGACACTAGATTGAATTTTAAAATGCTATTTTTTTTAATTGAAAATGTCAAAAGTTGACATATGATATATGTCATTCTATTCAGAATGTCATTTTCTATCAAATAAAGTATAAAAAATACCGAGGGTACCATTTAAAAATCAAATGTTGTACTCGTATACATTTCCGGTGAAACAGGAAGTGACCGAAACTAACGGAATACGAATCAATCTCGATTTATGTCATATACTTACCTACTAACATTCCGAATTTGGTAAACCCTGAATTTAATTTTTTTATCTGAAAAAATAAAAAGTTATAGGAGGTGAATCGCTTTTGAAAAAACACTCAGTATAGGCTGCGTCATTGAAAGAATCTGCAGATATTTTTCTATTTTAAATACGTAGTCGAATTTCAAAAACATATATTAAACACCCTGTAGCTCTACCTTAAATATCTACATATAAATATCTAATATTTTTTCTTCATCAACAAATTGAAATATTACAAAACTAGTTTTAGGTTACACCATTATTCAAGAAATATACGTAAAAAAAGTAATAGAATTTTACGCAGAATCTAAAATAAAATAGGATGTTACATGTAAAAAAAACATTATGTTAAATTCGCCACACTTTTTACAAAGTTACAGACGTAGGTAGGTATAGTTTCATATTATATTCTTTAATTATCCATCTAAAAATAAAATATTTATATACATAAAATAATACTTTAGTATCCAACAAGTGGCCATGAAAATCAAAATAAATATAAATCCATGTCCTTTGAGGTATAAATTCGGTTCGAATCAGATAAGATATTTTTATTCTTTACCGAGAATTAAATTCGAAGAATTCCTAGTCCCTACTTCTTTGCCAAATTCAATAGTCTCCGCCCCTTTTTACGTTTTAATTTCTGCCACCAGTTGGCAGCATCGACTTATACAGGCTCATTGACTAACTATTAATATATAAACAAGGGTATAAGTAATAACACAAACACAGTGAAATAATAATTAAATACTTATAATCTAAAAGAGGTCAGCACTGTCACTCATTTTAATATAACTTTAAAGGGTATTATTAATTGTTTGAATTATTTGTCACTTTTAAGTTTCACATATAAGATTTGCTTAAAACAAAATCAACGTCGCCACCGTACCTTAAAAGAATCAATTCAGAATCCAGCACATTAGAAATATCAGTTTGCATGGGGACCCACAGAATAAAACAATATCTCCAGAAGTAAAACAAACCAGGTCATTGGTTTGTAGTCGGGGAATCCCAGCCGCTCGCCAATCATAGGCAAAACAAACAAGATCATTGGTTTAAGGTCGGGAAATTCCGGGAATTTTAACTAGCTTTCTTTAATATTAAATTATATATTTATATTATGTATAAAATATAATATTATAATGTTATGGTGTATTGTATAATTAGTATATAATGATAAAGGTCGCATAACCTGTTAAGACTATTAAAAACCCGACAATTCCACTACTCGGCCATTACCTTTAGCCGAGTACTCGGTACTCGGTCAAATTAAAAAACAGGGCTCGTTACAGCCCTAATATACAGGGTGTTCCATTTAAAGAAAATCATCCCGATCCACTCACACTTTTTTGAGCCACCCTATAGAAGTTAAAATATTTTCCTGAAATACATCCTTGTACATACTTTAGGTTTACACTTTAACAAAATTCCCAACTTTTTTATTCTAGGAGCTACAGATGGCCGACGCACTATTGCCGGACCCTGTATAATTTGTTTCCTATGACACAATAATCCTTATCATGCGTGTGCATTTAGTTAAATCATTGTAATAAAACTATCCAATACTTAATTTTATTCATAATTTATATACAGGGTGGTCCGCACTGTATTCCGGAAACTTCGGCAGCATATTCTGCAGATAAAAATAAGCAAAAAAGCTCGTATAAATGTATGTCACAAAATGCTTAGTTTCAGAGATATAGGGTGTAGAAATTTCATTTTTATTTCGGTTTTTTCCAAATGATTTCTGAAGTAATGTCAATATTTGGATGAAAATTGATGTCTGGGAGTTTTGTGACACGAGAAATGACACTCCTATTTGTAGAGGGCGCCACCTACATGTGTTTTAACTGTTTTGAAGAGTAATAACTTTTCGTTCGTACCTGTATACAACTACTGATTGAAAAAATATACATTTCCATGACTTTCTACGTAAAAAATGTCTCTTGGTAAAAATCGCTACGAGCAACCGTTCTCAAGATATTTAAAATGGAAATAGTCAATACATGTCATTATTGACAAAAAATAAGCACACGTTGAGTATAGTTATTTGACTGAAATAATAAATTTTTATTTTTTTTAAATTAAACAGTTTCTGTAGAACTTTTGGCACAAAAAGTTTCAAATTTATGATTTCAGTCTAATAACTATTTAGTCAACGTGTATAATTTATGTCCATGATGACAGGTATTGATGATTTCCGTTGCAAATATCTCGAGAACCATTATTCGTAGCGATTTCTACCAAGATACATTTTGTATGCAAAAAAAGTTGTTAATGTATATTTTTTTACTTAGTAGTTTTATACAGGTATGGACGAAAAGTTATTACTCTTCAAACCAGTTATAAAATATGTAGGTGGCGCCCCAGGTTATTAAAAGGTAAGGTTGTCTCGCAACTCGATCCGCCATTATCGAAAACGTCATCTACTACGTCATAGGAATGATACCGCTCATAGATAAAGGGATAAAAACTGCCCACAGTTCGACAGTGCATTTCCGAATCAATATTCATTGTTTACTTTATTGTTTATAGTGTATGGCGTCAATAGTTTTCAGTTGTTTGATGTGTGTTTTCTTTATTCTATTGTCCATTTATCTCTCTTTGTCGGTTGCATTTTATTTTCTATTCCTTTTATCTATGATTTTATACGTTCTATCTACGTCAGAGGGATGCTATTCCGCTTCGCTCCTATTGGTCCAAAAGTTACGAGACGGCCTTACCTAATAAATTATTATTACTTTTAATAACCTTGGGTAGCGCCCTCTACAAGTAGGAGTCATATTGATATGAAAATCAAATTTCTCATGTCAAAAAACTCCCAGACACCAATTTTCATCCAAATACTGACGTTACCTCATAAATTATTTGGAAAAAATCGGAATAAAAATGAAACTTCTACACCCTGTATCTCCAAAACTAAGCATTTTAGGACATACATTTATACGAAGTATGCTGCCGAAGTTTCCGGAATACAGTTCGGACCACCCTGTATATTGACTTACTATGTAACCATAATATGTGTCTTAATTCTCGCTGCTATTAATGTGTCTTATGGAAATGGGACTTATGGAAAGAAATACCTTTAAATATAATAAATTATTTTTTAATTTATTATTATTTCTAATTAATTTATAGGAGGACGAAGATTTATTAAGATTTCAAATAGCAGAATGGGACCCGATTATAGAATGGTTCAATAAAAAATTTAATGTATCTGTAAAAAAATCTGTTCAAATGGATGTTTCACCAGTTAGTGATAATGATAAAGCAAAGATAATGAGACATTTAATGTCCTACAATTTTGCTGCAGTAAATGGTAAAATATTATTTACTATTCGAAAAATAGGAATGCATCTTAAGATATTCTTTTTTAGGGTTTATGTATGGCGTTGACACGTTAAAATCAGTAATTTTGACATTGGCTTTAATTGATAAGTTTTTAACACCAGAAAAGGCAGTCCTTTTGTCTAGATTAGAAGAAGAATATCAAACTGGAAGATGGGGCCGTGTTGAGTGGGCACACGATTTAAATCAACAGGAATTACAATCTCGGTTGGCTGCTGTAATGATCTTTGTATATTTCAATTCCCAACACCGAAATATACAAGAAAAAAATACAACTAAATAGACATTTATTATATACATATAATATATTGTTTTTTTTTAGTAATACTGGTGTAATACTTTTTATTCTTTACATCATCAGAACACTGTCAGGGTGCATCCACACTATCCTAAAAACGGCGTAACAGCGTAACGACCTTGAATAGATTTCCAGTAATTCTATTGGCGGAAAAATTCATCTGTCAGAAATTTTATCTGTCAAAAATTTCAGCCAATAGAATTACTGGAAATCAATTCAAGGTCGTTACGCCGATACGCCGTTTTTAGGATAATGTGGTTGCACCCTCGACAATACAATACATTTAGTTTACTTCCGCTATATTATACAGGGTGTTTCAAAAAACGTGTGCCATCTCTCGTGGCGAGATTCCTCACGTAAGAATAAGATTTATTTTTCATAACAACATAGGTCCGTTATTTCGTGGCTACAGGGTGTTAAAATCTTATTTCGATTTATTATAATTTTCTTCCAAGTACTTTTAGCGATTCCAATGAAATTTTGAGGGTAAAAGTTACTATATAAATGCTACATATTTTAATGCTAATAAAGTGTCGCCATATTCACCAGGGCCCTGCATATGGGTTATCATAGGAATGTTTTTATAAAAAAAAAAGCCTGTACGCCACTGACTTTTTTTGTATTGTTAGAGAAATAGTGTAGGCCGATTAAAGGCGATTAGCGATTAAGTTGTCTCTTGATATTTTGTCCACTTCGGCCTCCTTGATGAGAAAAACGCAATTTTATTAATTTGCTTTGATCCAAGCCTCCAAGTGTAATAGCAACCTTTAAAACATTTTAATATCATTAACTTGCGAAAGTTTTAAATAAGTACTTATTGATTCATCAAAAAATATGAAAAAAAGTTCCTATAAATATGGGTATGGAAAAACATAATTTTCAAAATTACAGGATGTTAAAACTTTTTAAAATTAGGTCTTTTGTATTAACTGTTAGCAAATGACTAATAGTAATTACAACTAATAGTAATAATATTTAATAATAAATTAGAGAAAATAAATAATGTTAATTAATTTTATTTTTAATTTAATTTTATTAATTGCGATTAATAAAATTGCGTATATCTCATCAAGGAGATCGAAATCGACAAAATATCAAGATACAACTTTTAATTGACATTAAACGGCCTATACAGTTTTGCTATCAAAAGAAGAAAAGTCAGTGGCGTACATGTTTTCTTTTCGAAAAGTATTCCAGTGATAACCCATATGCACCTCTCTGAAGTATCTATCGACACTTTTTTAGCATTAAAATATGTACTTATAGTAACTTTTACCCTCAAAATTTCATTCGAATTCAAATTTCTTTCATACTTTTTGTGCATGTGCGTACACCGTTTTTTCCATATTATTAAATAAATCTGTAAACTCGAAGCCCAATTAAATCACAAGCAACATAATTTTGTTACATGCATTATCTATTATATTTGCAATATTTTGAAAAACAAATGAAAGAACTGTATATTTCTTTTTCTGGTCCCTAAAGTTATATTCCGATGAAATTATCGCTGGTAGTGCCAGTTACGATTCTTGTTTTATGAAACGTAAATTGTGCATGTGCAATTGTGTTCGTTCAAATTAACGAATCGTAGGAGTCGATTCAATATGAGAAATTGAATCATGTGATTCGATTCACTAAAAAGAATCGTAATGCCCATCACTAGTGCGCATATTTGAAGCATAGACAAACAAATAAAAAGAGACTGGCAAATTAAATGGCAAAGAGAGGGACAACGTTCCCGTAGCGCAACTGAGAACGCAAAATTTCGTTCTATTTATGTTGATCTGCGCATTGCGTCTATTGGGCCCACTATCTCATTCTAATATAACACGAGAGAAAGAAGCAGCCATATAAAACGTAATTTCTAAATAGAAATTAGAACAATCGCCTTTAGTTTTCGTCATCATGACAACCAAGATGACAACATCATGACAGTTCATCATGTTTGTTAATTTTTCTTTTGGTGATTTACCTTTTTTTTCTAAACTCTCCATTTTATTGACTTATGAATATGGATAGGGAACAAATTCCTTTGTTCCATATAGGTATTTATAATTTTAGGTTATACTATTTGTTATTTTATTTGCTGCAGGAGCCAGTATCATCTATTTTCTATATGTACCCCCTTTCTCTGATAGATATGTTAAAGACACCCGGTAAAATAAAAGTAAGTAGTTATATTTATCATCTTATTAAGAAAAAAGTAGAAGTAGTAGTGTCAAAAATATTTCGAAGCTCTCTTAACATAACAAATTAATACAATTAATTTTTTTCATTTTTTGGGTAGGTAGTTTATAGCTGGTTTATAGTAACCAGAAACTTTATTAATATACCTATTTTACTTTTGTTTTAGGATTAAAACTGGACTTGAAAATCGTTCAGGATCATGATTCTCGTAAAGTCTTCTTTGCTTGGATATTCACTTTGTTATTGCATTAGGCAGTTTTTTCGAAAATGAGATTTTTAATGCCCTTTAAAAAAATTGGCAGAGCGTTTCCTGTAACAGTCAGTTCTTCTGCATTTAAAATTGATTGGTGGGTGGAATAAACACTGTTATTTTTTGTTATTATATTGTAAAAAGTTTATTTATTTTTATGTATAAATAAATGTTTATAAAACAGTACAATTTTTGCTTTTTTTATAATTTCCCTTATAATAGTAGTATTCTTTCGTTCTGAAAGAAACTGCAAATGTTCACTTAAACTGATTTATTTCCTACACCACGTTCCCTTTACGTGGTATAGGGAATAAATCAGTTTAAGTGAAAATTTTCAGTTTCAGAATGAAAGAATGCTACTAATAATGGCTAATTTAAATTTTCCGCCAGCCAGAATGTGCGATCATGTCTTACGATACGTTTTATACCTATCTCTTTCATTTTCATATAAAGCACACATAATAAAGAAAGATAGCAATAAAGACGTACGTCCTACCATGGTCCTGCTAATTGGTTTCAAAATTGTTATTCTGAGTTGCGCTACGGCAACGCGGTCCCACTCTTTACCATGGGATTTGTCAGTCTCTTTTTATTTGTTTGTCTATGATTTGAAGTGAAACTTCTTACTTCCGTCTGTCCGTCTCAGGACTCCATTCAGGTACCTTTATCCACGTGCCGAGTTTGGTTCTAATCGACCCATAATTAAGAAAAATTCTGATGATTTCGTCTACATTTAGAGGCATCAAACGCTGGTCGATTTTCGACGAAATGTGACAAAAAGTAATAAAAACTAGTTTCAAATTACCCTGTCATAAATGTACAGGCAAAACACCAAAAAACAAGTTGGCTATGAAAAAAAGTACAATTTCAAAACAAACTGTCACTTGGAATACCATTGTGTTAATAAACATTAAACATAATTTGTTAAATTATTATTACGGTTTTTAGTATCCTGTAATTGTGGAAAAGTGTGTTACCACGAATGATAATTCTGGAGGTATGTATTTAATATTTAAGTAAAAATATGTACTTTTTATTTGGTTTTGGATAAAGAATTATGCAAAGAAATGGAGAATGTACTTTCGCATTTATTTTTCACGATTTTACGTAGTTTTAAATCGATTTTGTTACTGTTCCGCTCATCTCCCATTATAAATATATTTTTCCCCCTTAATATAATTATCTACCTGATAGGCTGTAAAAAGTTTTTTTGCGCATTTTGTCATAAACTGTAAAACATACTGTACAAGTAAATGAGGCCCCTCTTTTCTTTTTTAAACCCATGTATATCGCGTTAAAATATTGCATACACATATAATACCATTGACAAACAAATAAAAAGAGACTGACAAATCCCATGGTAAAGAGTGGGACCGCGTTCCCATAGCGCAACTCAGAATAACAATTTTGAAACCAATTAGCAGGACCATGGCAGGACCTACGTTTTTATTGCTATCTTTCTTTATTATGTGTGCTTTATATGAAAAAGAAAGACATAGGTATAAAACGTATCGTAAGACATTATCGCACATTCTGGCTGGCGAAAAATTTAAATTAGCCGTTATGAGTAGTATTCTTTCATTATTAAACTGAAAATTTTCACTTAAACTGATTTATATATTCCCTATACCACGTAAAGGGAACGTGGTGTAGGGAATAAATCAGTTTAAGTGAAAATTTGCAGTTTCTTTCAGAACGAAAGAATACTACTATTATAAGGGAAATTATAAAAAAAGCAACGTGAAACAAAGTGAATATCCAAGCAAAGAAGACTTTACGAGAATCATGATCCTGAACCATTTTCAAGTCCAGTTTTAATCCTAAAACAAAAGGAAAATAGGTATATTAATAAAGTTTCTGGTATAAACCAGCTATAAACTACCTACCCAAAAAATGAAAAAAATTAATTGTATTAATTTGTTATGTTAAGAGAGGTTCGAAATATTTTTGACACTACTACTTCTAATTTTTTCTTAATAAGATGATAAATATAACTACTTACTTTTATTTTACCGAGTGTCTTTAACATATCTATCAGAGAAAGGGGGCACTAATCAAAGACATTATAAAAATAGACCGAACATCTCATTCATAAATACTCGTTGGTAGTGTATCAAACATTCCAATGTGTCAAACAAGGACAGAAGAGACAGAGAAGTCTAAAATTTCCGACCCCGGCAACTAGGCGCATTTGGATTGTTCTAATGGCCAGTGGCGTATCGTTTTTGGAACGAATTTAATTAGTAAAGTAAAAGTAAAGTAATTAGTAAAATTTTTACTCCATACTAATATACTACATTAACACTTTTTCGTTAGATGAGTTTTGTTATAAGGTCTAATATAATAATATAATTAATATCCCACATATACTTATGTTGAAACGTTAGTAGGTAGTTTTCGAAAATCGCTCCAACGTCGATATTCAATTTAAAGTTTCAGTTACTTCTATATAAACACTCAGTTAATTTTTAATTATTACAGGGTGACTCAGGCTTCCGAAACAGTTCTATATTAGGTTTGTGGTTAGTGACTTTTCTTTCAATTTTTTTTTAGAATATGGAGGCAATGGTAAAGCACGTTTTAGACATTTTTGTAATCATAGGTGGCCGGAACATATTTTCAAACTAAAGTTGTAGATTTGCCATTAAATTTCCATTCCAGAAATACCTAGGGTTGTCACCTGTCCTTTTTTGAAAAGGACAGTCCTTTTGGAATAACTTGTCCTTTTGACTTTTTGACTTAAAAGTCATTTTTATTTACGTATTTTCCCTGAGAGAAGAAGAGAACTTAGAACTTCCCGTTTAATCTCTGAGAAAATTACCTACAGCAAACAGAAATATTCTTTTCGTCCAAATTTAATTAGAGATGTTATAAAACTTATAAATAAATTTTTCTTGTTTAGAATAGGCAACATTATTTAGAATTTCCCGTTTAATCTCAAATGATAGTTTAGGTTTTAGTTTTTATTTTTTGATCTTAAAAAGAACTTTTCAAAATTAGTAATTAGTAACGATTTAGTTAGTTCGCAATCGATAGCTTCCTGTGAAGTACTGTGTAACAGTTGTTTAATCTTGTATTATTAATAACTTCCTATACCTAAAATCAATATTTATTTTAATCCTTTTAGTCTCTCAATAGAGGGCATTTATCATTAAAAGTATCAAATTTGTGTGCTACAGTATGGGATTTCTGTCGCATAATAATGAATATTACGTTTATTTACAAATCCATTTCTTAGGTAGCTTAATCAGACAATCAAATTTTAGTTAAACGTCCCAATCTTCATGAACTGTATTAAGCATATGTATTGCGGTTTGAATCACCCTGTATGTTGACAAAAATATTTTGAAAATGTCACAATGGCCCCGATCTTATGTAAAGATTGAAATAAAAATCACAAACCAAAAACGTAATAGGTAAAAAGCTTTTTTGGAGGCCTGGGTCACTCTGTATATAGGTATGTATAAAACTAGTAGCCTAAGAATTATTTATAGTTCGTCCCCATGATACAAAGAATACAAGGTATGATATTGCGCAAACAGATGACACAATAAATATATATATATATATATATATATATATATATATATATATATATATATATATATATATATATATATATATATATATATATATATATATATATATATATATATATATATATATATATATATAAATATATATTTTAAGTCTTTTTTTTATTAGTGGCAATTGAACAATATGGATATTTTTTTGTATGGCGTATGACGCCACAGGTGGTATGCGCAAACTTAACGAAATTGGAGCCGCTATCGATCATACCTTGTTTTCTTTGTACCATGGTTCGTCCCATTCTAAAAAAAGGTAAACACACCGTACAAATAACTCTAGGAAGAGGTATTTGTATTGTACGGTGGTAAAAACTTGTCTAAACAAGACCGAAGGACCTATACAAGATATAATTAAGCAATAAAATGTAAAAAAGGTCGGGTAAACACCTTGGTTTATTTGTTGAGCAAAATTCCTTTAGAATATCGTATATAATGACCAAAATATGACGCAATTTAAAAAAAATGTCACTTTCTGGCATATAATAAAGTTTCAAATGCAACGTTTATATTCAAATTTGTTATGATATACAACACTTAGGTAGTAATTGAGACGAATTATAATTCAATTACCGGCTACTACGTTCTTGTTTTAATAGATCAAAATTCAACAAATATAATTAGAAATTATTTTAATTTTGAGAGGCTCCCTTGTGGGACGCCTATGTACGATTACGGCGGAAACAATACCTACCTGTGAAAAGACAAATTCGGGTAATTTGAGCTTATTTTTCCACACATTTGACACTGTCCTACCATATTGAAAATTCGCAGATTCAAAAGTACGTTAAACAAAAACAAAAACTACTGAGAACCACTGAAAAGTTCACTTCGGCCTTGATTCCGACTTCAAACACACCGTAAGCTAAACGTAGTACGCTATAACGGACCAAGGGCCGTCGCGAGGGGCGGTGGGACGGACGGCTCATTTCATTCTGGAAGACTAGCAGCGACGTTGCCAATAGTTCTAGACGTTTCAGCACATTAAACAGTAAACATGCCCTTTAATAGTAACGCATAGATCCTCTGCTTAATAACATATTATTACGCATGCTTCTTTAAGATAAACTATTAATTTAATTAAGAAATTGAGATTTATTGATATCCGGTGAAGGTTTTAAAGTCACCTTTTCTGCAAATCAAACTAAATAGATAGGCGCAAATTTGAGATGTGGCAATGTCGCCTTCTCTATCTCAGTTGGTTTTTACAGTACGTAGTCAACCTCCGGTTGTTTGATCGGGTTAAAATGCACAATGTTATATCTGTTCTTACTAAATCTATGGCACTAATACATATAGATGATACTGGCTCCTGCAGCAAATAAAATAACAAATAGTATAACCTACAATTATAAGTAACAAAATATAAATACCTATATGGAACAAAGGAATTTGTTCCCTATCCATATTCATAAGTCAATAAAATGGAAAGTTTAGAAAAAAGGTAAATCACCAAAACAAAAATTAACAAACATGACGAATTGTCATGATGTTGTCATCTTGGTTGTCATGATGACGAAAACGAAAGGCGATTGTTCTAATTTCTATTTAGAAATTACGTTTTATATGGCTGCTTCTTTCTCTCTTGTTACATTAGAATGAGATAGTGGGCCCAATAGATGCAATGCGCAGATCAACATAAATAGAACGAAATTTTGCGTTCTGAGTTGCGCTACGGGAACGTTGTCCCTCTCTTTGCCATTTAATTTGCCAGTCTCTTTTTATTTGTTTGTCTATGTATAATACCAAAGCGACTATCTTTTGACATATTTTTTTTATGTTAAATGTCAAAAGGATAGCTGCACGCCATTTTGAAAAAAACTAAATAAAAAAAAGGTTAAGTAATATCTTAATTGAAAGGTCTTTTCATTCTTAATATATGACCAAATTTTAAATTAAATTAATTAAAATCACTGTCACTTTCCCAAACAAAATGGCGCCCTGGCAAAATTTTGAAAATTCTAAAATAATTTTTTTTTATTTTTTATTTTTTTTAATTTTGGATCAAGTTTTAGTTTTGGTTTTATAAATTTTCAAGCCTGTGTAACCAAAATGAATATACGTGAAAATATTTTTTTATTAAAATCCATTGAACCATTAAACTTTTATGTTGAACACTTTTGTCCCAAAGGTCAAATTAAAAAGTTATTAATTAGGAGGAGTCCATTTAATTTTGAACACCCTGTGGATGCTAAAATTTGTTGACCAAATTGATTAAAAACACTAGAAACACATATTTTTAATGTTCAGGTTATTTTCTTGTTGCAAAATATTTTTTGCCACGTTTCGACGAAAATCGATCAGTGTGCATCGGTTCGAAACTCCGAGGGCGTCATCCTGTAGCACATCCAATTATGCATCGACCCACATTTTTCTTCAAAATATCAAATCCTTAGTTCCACCCTGATGAAGATGTAAACGAAACGTCGTATCCAACTTTGCAGAGTGGGACCGTCTGCACCGTCGATAAAATATAGGTATCGTATACGCTTGAGGCTTTGATTACCATAAATTTCAACGGTAAAGATTGAATTATTAAAATTATATTCCAGGTTAAAATAAGTATCACAAGAGCAAAATCAAAACAGAATGCAAAAAAGTGTAAAAGTGTGAGGAACGTTTAATTCTATGATTTGAAAAATTAAACAACTTTTTAAAATTCATATTTATTTATCCTTGTTATTGTATTCAACAGAGCCTCATTTACTTTTGAGTAAGTTGTCTATATGTTCTTCATATTGTTTTTGGCTTTTAGTTAAAATATATAAACTTACAGATTTTACTCCTAAAGTAGCAAGGCTCTTAATTCGTTTTTCTGTAGTCTTCTTACTGTGTAAAAGGATTTTTGATACTCTACAAATGTGGGTTGAGGTAAAACCATGTTTATATAAAAAATCAATTGTTTCCCTTAACTTCAAGATACTTCTGGTTTGTAATTGTGGATGTTTTCTTATTAAATATTTAGCAACATTTTCGCTACATTCCAGTTTGTTAGAAAGATATTCAGTAACTGAGTATTCTCCCAATATATCTTTATTTTCCATTTCGCGCCTGATGTGCCTAAAAAAATACATAAAAAACCTTGTCACATTGTTGTATATATTTTTTACTTTAAAAGGGTTTCTTCTGGACATCGAATCATCCAAGTCCGGATATTGACAATTTTATATTTTCTAATCATTTCACACCGTGCTAGAATAAAATCTGCACTATATCTAAATATCCATAAATCTTTTAGTAGTTCCTCGTTTGCAAATCCGAAGTCTGTAAGAAAAAATCGTGAGTTAAATTTTAGATATAGCGTGTTCAACAGTAGTGTGATTCTGTAAGCCCCGTAGCAAGACATTTTTTGCTTAGCCTATGTTATTTGTATACGATTGATGATTCACTAGACAGCAAATATATTTACAGAATCGCACTGCAGGTTGTGCATCAGAAAAAAAAACGGAAAAAGGCGAGTCGGACTTGTAAGTCTATACAGGGTTGTTCACCACATACGACACGGAATATTGTAGCTAAACGATTAGATTTTTGCAAATTGTAAGGTTTGGGTTCGTTGAAGGAGTATTAGAGCTACAATTTAAAAATATTTTTACAAGATACAGAGTGTCCCAAATAAATTAAAATTATCAAAGTTGTATTTTTTTAAATGGAATACCCTGTGTATTATTACATTTTTAATTTCTACGATTAAAATAAAGGTAAATTTAATTAAGGTTTATTGCACTTAAACCTTACCGTTTTTGAAATATTTTCAATTTTGTGAAGTTGCAGTATAAATTTTAAGGCTTCATTTCTCCGAGGGTATCAAAGTTTTTAATACTAAATATTTACTCAAGTTTATTTATTGATCAGTTATTGTGTTGCAATAATAAAAAATACTCCCTATACAGAGTGTCTAAATATTTATTTTAAATAATTATTAGCTTTAAACGGCAATAACTTGTTTAATTTAAATGGAACACCCTGTATATTTTATAAGAATCAGATGCACAATTTAATTGACTATCAAATTGTATTATACCATTTTTTAACTATCTCTTCAAGTTTCCGTAGAAAATGCATTTTCTTGTAATTTAGAACTCATTTATCAATATACCCATGAAATACTGACATTTTAAATTATTTTTAAAGATGTACCAAATTTTTAAAGAGTTCAGATACTAATATTGTCGATATAGTTTGTTTATTTCTTTAAAAAATAAAAAAAAAACTGTTTAAATATTTGTTAAAGAGGACCAATTAATATGATTCCAGTATTCAAACTACATTAATTGACTGTTTGCGTTGATTAATAATAATTGCTTCAAATACTAAAAAAATGAATTATGTATGTGTATTAGACAGTGTGGTAAAAAAACTAACACCTTAAAAATGTTATTTCATTTTTTGACAAATGCTTATTTATAACAACAGAGATGTTCATTTTCATAACTTATTATTATATTGATTTCTGATTCAAATCCACATCTATTGAGAATAATTTATTAACGAACACAATTAAGTATGTAATTAATTAGTATTTGGACGGAAATACTGGTGGTATATTTAATTAAAGGTATACTCTTTTATAAAGATTTAAATAGTTTTCTTTTTGCATACAAATGGGCTAGTAATATTATCGTTTTACTAAAAACGATAATATTACTAGACTGTACATTTTTTACATTTGTTTTGGTATATTGATAAATGAGGTCTAAATTATAAGAAAATGCATTTTCTATGAAAACTTGAAGGAATAGGTAAAAAGTGGTATAATACAATTTGATAGACAATTAAATTGTGCATCTGATTCTCATAAAATATACAGGGTGTTCCATTTAGATTAAACAAGTTATTGCCGTTTAAAGCTAGTAATTATTTAAAATAACTTTTTAGACCCTCTGTATAAGGTAGTATAATTTTTATTAATGCAATACAATAACTGATCAATAAATAAATTTCAGTAAATATTTAGTATTAAAAACTTTGATACCCTCGGGGAAATGAAGCCTTAAAATTTATACTGCAATTTCACAACATTGAAAATATTTCAAAAACGGTAAGGTTTAAGTGTAATAAACCTTAATCAAATTTACCTTTATTTTAATCGTAGAAACTAAAAATGCAATAATATACAGGGTGTTTCATTTAAAAAAATACAACTTTGATATTTTTTATTTATTTGGGAAACTCTGTATCTTGCAAAAATATTTTTAAATTGTAGCTCTAATAGTCCTTCAACGAACTCAAAACTTACAATTTGTAAAAATCTAATCGTTTGGCTACAATACTCCGTGTCGTATGTGGTGAACAACCCTGTATTTTATAAATAGCTCAGAAATCGAGTTTCGCACTATTTCCGAGCTGTTCCCGAAATTCTGTTTCCAAAACCTATAATTACTAGATACAAAACACTTAGGTAGGTAGGTACTTTTTTAAGAGTATGTTTAATAGCATAATTTTAAATTAAAAGAGAATTACGAAGGTACGCATAACAGCGCAAACTGTTAGGTACATTTCAGTCGATTTTAAAAATTCCGACCGCAGCGCTCGATACGGCAGAAATCAAAAGTTTTCGCTCTGTATTTCACGCAGTTCCTCTGTTGATCGCATTAAAATAATATTAAATACACAGGTACGAGGTTTGTGTTGCGACGCTGTTTCGGGTAGTAAAAATTAAGTGAAAAAAAACCGAATATTAATAACTCAACTTTCCCGGATTATCAACTCGACCGAAACAACTTTTTATAGCTTCACAACTTCTCATACCGATTTGATCAAAAACAAAAATGGATTCAAGCAGCTCCATGAAACAAGTGAGTAAACAAAGTGCCCATTACATAATTAATATTAAATTGGCATATACTATGAGAGGGTAAATTATAATTTGCAATATTAACGATATACTTATTTTAATCAACTAGTGCTTAATTTTTTTATGAACATCTTCTAAAATTATAATTATACTAGTTGAAGCCTGGCGCATCCGCCACGACATAAGGAAAAAAAATACTTTTTTTTTAATTAAATGAAAAACAAAAAATGCGGCGACGACAGTTTTTACAAGAGCCAATTAGCTATCTTTTAGTAAAAAAAGCAACTTTCTAGAGCAAGTCGTTACTTCAGTAGAGACGACACAGATAAACATTAGCATTTTATATATGTAGATTTTTTATTTTTATTTTTAGAATTTTCACAAATTATACCAGTTGGCTGGGAAATGACGATCGATGACATTTCCTATATAAATTTACATATAAAATGACAGCGATCTTCATTTCATAGCCATCGCTGACGCCGTTTTTATTCGATCATACGGTACTTCCTTAGAATAATTAATATTTTTTTGTATACTCGTTATTTAAACCCGTGTATTTGTATATGCCGGTTGTTTACTACGATTTTCTCCGATGGTAGCAGCACCGGCGGAGAATGAACCAAGCCTATACACCAAAATTATTAGGTACCTACCTATACTTATAAAAATGGGATTTTTATAAGTATATTTTTTTCATTCTTCGTTATAAATCGAAAATTATACATCATCAAAATAATTAAAAACGTGTTTAAGCTTGAGCCAATAGGCTTGGTGCAATCTCCGCCGGTGCTGCCACCGCCGGAGAACCCGTAAACAACGAACACATACAAATACACGGGTTTAAATGGCGAATAAACGAAAAAATTAGTATATCATTATTCTAAAAGTGAAGTGTAATTTGTGGAAATTCTAACAAAAAAAAATAAAAAGGTAAATATTTTGACATCTTCCGAAGGTTTAACCTGGATTATAATTTGTTATTCCAGCTAAAAAACTAGATTTTTAGATGAGTTCAACTACGGTAGCGAGCATAGTTTTATCACCGGTTTTGCTAGTGGGACATAATTGGAGCTATTTCGTCTATAACGAAATTTTTTAAAAAGGTACATAATTATAATTTTAGAAGATGCATTAAAAATTATCACTAGTTTGATTAAAAGTTTACCATAATAGTTGCAAAATTATATTTTTTTTTTTTTTTTTTTTTTTTTTATTTTATTTTTTGAATATGTAACGAACACTTTGGTTACTGACGGAAACAATACTGAGAGAATTTTCGGTTAGGCCTTGGACACCTGCGGTTCAAAGAAAATTCCACTTCTCCAACTCCCAGTGGTTAACATACCAAAATTTACAACTGTGAGAAACACCTCACTGTTAGTATTGAGTAATAAAAAGGTATTGGAAGAAAGAAACGCTACTCAGCATATAAAAGACACATTAACGTGGTATACTGATTGCTTCCAAAACCAAATCAGGGACAGGATAGGAGTAGTTTGGCCGAAAACTGAATACTCCGAACAATGTTGGGCACCTCACAACCTCAGCATCCTTCAGGCAGAAATTTGCGCTTCGAAAAGATGCGTACAATTTTCTTGGATAGGAACTATCAAAAACAGGAATTGCCGATCCTACGATAGTCAAGCAGTATTAAACGCGATCAATTCAGTAATCATAAATTCGAAGTTGGTCAAAGGAATGCTTGGAGAAGCTCAACAAATCAGGCAAAGAAAGATAAAGTCCTCCTACTTCGGGTGCCTGCTCCACCAAGGTAGAAGGCAATGAAAAAGCAAATGATCTAGCTAGAAAAAGGAGCGAACACTCACTAACTGGACCAGAATCCTTTCTGTTCTCAAACGGGAATCAACGGAAAACGGAACTGAAGAATCTGGAAGACTCCATCCGTAACTTGGGATGGGTGTCCGTCCAACGGTCTAAGACCACTCGAAAAAGTTCCTGTGAACTTTATGATGACCGAGAAAAATCAAAGGTTTCCTTGATTTTAAGTAAAACAATCTTCGGATTGTCACGTGGGTTTCTAAACAGGACACTGTCTCCTTCAACGAACACCTCAGTAACTTGAAGCTAAGAAAAAACACGGCGACCAAACCAGAAACTCTTAGTCCACTTGAGTGCGCCGAGAAGCGACGACCATTTCGTTGTTTCTATGCCATGAACCTTGGTACAACTGATATCAAAGATGGAGAGCTGGCCTCTGTGGAGCCTCTCAGATACTGGCTTTTCTTAAAGCCCTGGGACTGTATGATGAGTTATAACTCGTTATAACTCAAGAAAGGGGAACACACAATAGAGATCTATAAGGTCGCGGTGATTAACTCCCCTCCTAAACATTCTACATTCTACATTCGTCGAACTGCTTGGATCCATTTTTGCTATTGATTAAATCGGTATAAGAAATTATGAAGCTATAAAATGTTGTTTCGAGAGAGTTGAATATCCGGGA